TTGTCCCCTCGAGTTATTTCTTTGGAATTTTCCCATAAACATTTTCACTGTTTCTATAAAATTATTAGACTGAAAAGAGCAAAACTCGTGATAAAATAAAAAAAAACCTTTGCGACATTTACATTCTTGTAATCATTTCAACCCAATCAAGGCAATAAAGCCACGAAGACGCAAAAGGTTACTGAGAATGAGAAGAAATAAACTTTTAAGGAGAGACAACAGTAAAAGAACAAGAATTGAGAAAACAGTAGACAACGATTGAGATTACATTTAAATTATTGAAGATCAAAGTCGACTGCGAAGCAAGAAGTCAGAAGGGAGTTCCGCAAAGCGAGAAGTGCGATAGAAGAAAGTGTTAGCATAGAACTTGCGGTTGCCTCTAGCCAATTCAACTGTAAAATGATGAAAAACTGCCACCAATCTAGCATTGCGCTTAAATTCCTAAAGTCTAGGTACCATAGAGGAAGGTCATATTTATTTTGAAAAATACAAAAATGTGGCACAAGGCCAAAAGTGAGGGGGACAATGGAAGGCTGGTCTTCAATTTGTCTTATCTTAAACTTAGTTACCCACGATTACTCACCCAAGCATACTACAGCATTACTTACACCAAAACAACACATTCTTACTTACCATTCTTACTACAGTCACCATAATACCTCATAGTCTCTATGTAGTCCTAACTAGTTCTCATGTGTACGATTTGTCTGTGGTGGCGGGGATAAAAATAATAACATAGAGGAAAATTCAGGAGAACAATTTTCATGAAATGATTTATAGAAAAGTCACCGGGAAGCTACGTTACGGTGGTGAGAAAATGACTGAAGCCGAGATGCCAGGTCAGGATCAATAACATAATAGATTCTTCTTTGGACAAGAATCTCTAGATATATAGCAGGATTACCAAAGCAGATGTAGCATAATTATTCAAACCGAGGACGAATGGCAGACTTATAAATTCGTAAGATAGATTCGAGCGAGAAAAATTGTCTAGCACGATACTGTGAACCAAATTTCCTAGCAGCAAATGTAGCAATTAATTCGATATAATCTTTCCACTTCATGTCAGCTGAAAATGTTAGCCCGAGGAGGCGCAATGAACCACTCTCTTGGAGGTTAGCATCAGCCATAATGATGGAAGTTTAAAAAGGGTTCTACATGTTTTTCTAACTCTTGTATTTACACGATATAATATACTAGATGTTTGCGCTCGTCATGGTGTTCGGATCTATTAAGCCCATTGACTTTCACCCGGCTGATTGTATCCCAAGTTCTGTTCTTTTCCGTGGCTTCCTTCCGATGTTTTCCGTCTACATTTCCCAGCTGCTCTCGTCTTCAATCGGCAACGAAGACCCAATTCACCAAGCTATTATTTATTAACGACATAGTTTATTTCTTACAGCGGCAGTGGCAAACTCAGCTAAAAATCGATAACAGCCGACTTCAGTCGCTACGTTTTAACTGCCAGAAAGCGATCTTGTTCGGATTTTGTGAAGATATTAAAGCAAACGAGAATTTACAAAATAATAATAATAATAATAATAATGAATAACAAAAAGAGGCAAAGATGGGAATTCAGCATTTGATTATAAAACATTTTTTAATCATTTCACATTTAATAAAAGCCACTAGGATGCAAAGGGTTACTGAGAGCGAAAGAAACAAAACATATAAAAGAACAGCATTTAATGAGACGACAAGATGACGATTGACATTGCATTTACATTTTTTTAATCATTTCACACTTAATAAAAGCCACTAGGATGCAAAGGGTTACTGAGAGCGAAAGAAACAAAGACGAAAATAAAAGAACATCATTTAACAAGACGAAAAATTTCGTTATTGACGTTTATTGTATACAGACTGTATATCATTTTCTAGATCAGTTGCCAATTTGATTTTATCGAACCTATCAATCCGGAGTAAATAGTACAGAGATCGTTTTTGAAACTAATAACATCAAGAAGATTGTTGATGAAAATAAGAAACAGATTAGATACAGGAATAGAACCCTGAGGACGCACGCATTAATGCAAAGGGATCTAGACGAGTGGCCGTTCAAGACAACCTCCATTACGCAGTTTGAGAAAGAACATTGAATAAAATCAAAGAAACGACCAAAAAACACCATAACCTTCAACTTGTAAAGAAGGCCAGCATACCAATCCCACCCCACCCCGTAAAACGCCTTCGAAATATCTATAGCAATACACCGAGCTTCACCATTCTTATCTAAAATTTGTCAGACACTTTCAGTAATAACATCAATACATGGGCAGCTTACCTAGAGAAGCGAAACTCATATTGTTTGTCTGAAAGAAGACCCTGCAAGGTGTGATGCTTAAACAATTCGGGTTTGATTAGAGATTCTAGAACTTAGCCAAAAATCGGTAGAATCTAATAGGCCAATGGTACGAAGGATCAGACGGTTCAACAAAGTTCTTAAAAACGGGAACTACAGAAGAGGATTTCCAACAATCCGTAAAGTAAGAAGCAACAAGGTATCTATTGTAGAGTTTAGAGAGAACAGAGACTGCTTCAGGGGCACATTTCTTAAAGACAACTGCGAGTATACCATTGTCCGCATTCTTTGTGAGGATAAAGTTTGAATATTACTGCGGAAACCACAGTTATTTTTCTATGTTTTAACAATAATGTTCACCCAGTACAAGGACTAAGAGCCGCTTGAGGTAGATGGTTACAAAGTATGAGTTAAGAGGCACAGTTTAAGGAGATATATAGGGAAGATAATGGCTAACCCTAGTCTTGAACAGATTAAGATTGTATTGATCGGGAAAACACCATCTTTGGAGTCTGTTCCAAAAGGTAATGTTTTGTGGGAATAAATCGTTCGAGTGGGACTTACATCTCACCAAGAAGTGAATGAAGGTGGTTCACCACAATGTGAGTGGCTTGGCGGCCATGAAGGTTAGATGTGGTTGAACTTAGGAATATAGTCCATCTGAAAACTTGAGGTCCAGGACAGCATTCCAGTCCCACGTTAAGACTAGGCGCCAACGGGAACGGCTTCATCAGACGGAAAAACGAGACATGCTCCGTTTGGTCATTGGGAGCATAAATCGCAACGATCCGAAACATACCACTTCCCACGGTAATATTGGCCAAACCACCGCATCGACATGAACAAGGTCCACTCACATTCCCAGGGTACGTGCTTCACCAACAAGAAAACACCTCTGACCTGTCGGTCCTCGTATGTTCAATGGACAACAAATTCGCTAGGCAACACACAAGCATCGACGTTGCAAGCAAAATGTGTCTCCTCGATAGCGGTCATATCCATGCCGAAAGACAAGAGATCAGGCCGCCTTACCACGATCACTTAAGCCCATCGCATTTAAGCATGCCAACTTTAAAGACATTTTTAGAGATATCTTTTTTAAACACACACTGGCCGAAAGCCTGTGAGGAAAAAGACACCAATGTGATGTCCCAGACCGCCACAAGCCACGACAGACGTAATCCGTCCGTCCACTACATTTGTAGGGAAAGTTAGTTTAATTGCCCCATATAAGGAGGGGTGAAGCAAATCCGAGCTCTCTTTGCAGTTTTCCGGGCTTTCGTATTTCGTTTGACTCCACCTGAGCCATACTGATATTTGGAAAGGAGTCCTTTGCGGCGGCCAGGAAGTTCCACAGTTTCATACAGAAATCAGACACGGCTGGAGCAAGTAGAGCAGTGTGCATTCCCTTAAATTTGGCTTGGGCTAAAAACAGTACCAAGAAAGATGCGAGCTATTATGCCGAATTAGAAGCCACATGTGAACCTTTCGCTAAAGGTAACTAACTATTTCTGAAGCTTTGGACGCAGTGCCGACAAGAATAATCTCCCTGCTTTAGGGTTCTATATAATAAGGGGTGGAGTAAAACTGCAGTAAAATTGTCGAAGATCCGGTGATTCGAACTGGGCTTACCACCGACGTAAAAACTGAAGCCTTGAAGGACCTGAAAATGCTTGGCCAAGAGATAGTATGCTATATGAGACATCCTGCTAGATATGGACAAGGAGGCCAGGCAGAATCAGTACGTCTCTAGGCAGAATATATGGGCACACGAAAGATAAGAGTGATGATGGATGGGGTACCACAGATATCACCGAGAATCAGCTGGTGGGGTCTTTTTTGCGAAATATGGACAGGTCGGGGATGTTTCTCCGATAATAAGTAAAACAGGCATTGCCACCGGCGACTGTTTTTTTCAGGTGGCAATGTCCCGCAAAAACTTTCTGGACATACACAACATATTGATTTGCCGGGTCAAAAGAATGCTGGTCGTAGTGGAGGGCCGATAACCTGACTGCTGGTGATGTGACACCGCAGGGGATTTGTCTAAGGCGTGCCTCGGTAAGAAAACGGCGTCACGGCCTCGTCCGACAACAGCAACGAAAACGGAGGAAGAGCGGTGGAAGATGAGAATTCCGGCAAGGCCTTCGATGGACTCGATGAGTGGAAGAAAATCGCGAGGAAAGGACAAAAAGCGGTAACCCCCCCCCTCTCCAGCAGGGTGTCCCACAGAAACAGCAGCAGCGACAGCAACAAGAACAGGGGCAGCGGCGGAAAAGGCAAGAGGAGGAGAAAGAAAAGCAGCAGTAGCAGTTGAAAAAGAAGTTGCAAAAGCAGCTGGAAAAACAGCCGAAGCTGGAAAAGCATCAATGGCAGAGCAGCAACGGTAGAAGCTGCTGCAGCAGCAACAAGAAAAATACCGGCAGCAACAACAGCAGCTGCCGGACCCTGATATGGAAGTGGATTAAATCCCCCCACTTCGGTCATCCTCTTTAAAAAGGGGGAGGGGGACGATGAGTTGGACGAAGAAAAGAAAAATATAAAAAAAGAAAAGGCCGGGCGTAGCAGGGCGGAACAAGCCACGTGCCGAGTAAAGTCTTAATCTACATCTACCTCTGCCTCTGCCTCACGAGACCGAAAAGACACCAACTTAAATAAGTCTCTCCACTTCACCCACTAGGGTCCAACATTTTCCTACTCTTCTCCAATCCCATTCCAAAAGAAAAAGATCTCTTTCCCAAAGAGAGAGGACATCTGCCGGTTAGGTGCTTGAAAGGGAACTTTCCTCCCAGAGGAAGGAAGGCCCTCTTAAAACCTCTATTTAAACTAATCACAGTCGAAGGGATGACGACGGACAATCCCAAGAACTTTAGGGATGCTCCTGGGGTCATTACAGTATTAACGATTGCAGGCACAAAATTCCGGGATTTTATTTCTGCATCAAAAGATTCCTTTCGGAAAATCCAGATAGTCCAGTTCGAGTCAGTGGATCTTCGAAAATTTTTACTTCAGTTTTACTCCACTCCCCATTATGCGCAAGAAAGAAAAACATCGATCGTTACATTCGAGAGGTCAATACCACGGAGAGGCGTACTCTGAAGTCGATCAAAGAGTGAGACGTTTCAACGGTATTTCAAGAGCCGATTTACTAAGGAGCTTGGTCTCTGTGGCGAAGAGTTTGGCAGCAGTTTGGCTGACTTTCCTCGGCTTTCGCCGACTGAAGTGGTTAGCTGCAAGGGTGAAATCACAGAAGGCAATGTTCACTTGGCATTGAAGTGAGTCGGCAGTGGCAAGTCTCCAGGACTTGATGGTTTGCTCTACGAACTGTACTTGAAGCTGTCGCGCATCTTTGTGCCGATTTTGACAGTCGTGTTTAACAACTGGTTCCTGCAGGGGTCCTTCCGAATCTTCAGGCGTGTGATCAAACTGTTGAAAAAAGGGCAAGGATGGTGGGTGGGATTTAGAGGGTTACAGGCCTATAAACTTCTAAACACAGATTTCGGTCAAGATCCTGACGGAGCGTTTGCAATCAGTTGCCAAGGCGCAGTTGGGACTCGAGTAGACTTGTACTGTGAAGGGCTGAACAATTCAGGGCCACCCGCATCTGATCCGCACCATCCTCGTGAGTGTAAAACACAACGAATAATCTACGCTGATCAATTTGCATCAGTCTAAGGCGTTCGATAGGATCGACCATCAGTATCTGTCTTCTGTCCTACAGGCCGCCGAATTCCAACTCTACCTCTGCAAGTCGATCAGAATTCTGTATCGCTCCCCCAGTGCGGTGGTACAGATGAACGGTTGGTAGTCAAGTGCTTTTGCGCTGTCCCAGTCGATTTGTCAGGGTTGTTCGATGTCACGCTTACATTACGCTTTGGTGTTGGAACCTTTTTCGTCGGCTAAGGGATAGGACAGTAGTGCGTACAGTCCAGCACTACGTGGAATCGCTGCCCCTGGTGGAGATCGAGCCGGTGTTTCTGCGTACACCGATGATTTTCATGTCATGCCGCAGCGACATTGAGGACGCTTGAACGGTACGATAAGGTCACGGGGACCAAGATTAACCGAAATAAGTCTTCTGTCTTGCGGTTAAGTGCTTGGAAAGGCGTTGTTCTTCCAGGGCCTTAAGGTGGACTGACGGATCTGTCCGCCTTATTGAAGTGTGATTCAGGCAGAATTGGTCAGAGGTAGCGGCATAAATAGGAGCGGTGGTCCGGACTTGGCTCCGAAGGCGGTTGTGCTTAAAGGGTCGGACTGAGGTGTGCGCCACGTACATGTTTGCTCTTATCCTTTACCGGTTCTCTCTCTCTCTATCTCTCTCTCTCACTCTCTCTATCTCTCTCTCACACTCTCTCTCTCTCTCTCTATCCTATAAATGTTGTTTAATACTGTTTATTATAAACAGCATTTACTTAAATATTTGTATCTATAAAAAGAATGTATAAACATAAAAATGTCTTAAAATAATTGTCGGACTTTGTTCATTTCATAATGTGTGACGTCATTTGTTTACATTTGGATACGCATCGAGCAGATATGAATGTACGTGAGAGATTCATGAAAGTTTAAAGGTAGTAAATTCGACTTTGCTAACCGAACGCTCCTTTGTGGCGAAATTGGTTAAAGGCACGTCAGGCTATATGACGGTCCTTTATAGGATACGGGTTCCATTTCTGTCGGAGGACGAATATTTTCTATGAAAATTTCTCGTACATTCAGGCCAGTAAATGTTACTTATTATAAACAAAGCATTTACTTAAATATTTTTATCTATAAAAAGAATGTTTAAACATAAAATGTCTTAAAACAATTTTCGGAATTTGTCCATTTTATTTTTTATTTATTTATATATATATATATATATGTGTGTGTGTGTGTGTGTGTGTGTGTGTGTGTTTTTGTGTGTGTGTGTGTGTGTGTGTGGAATAGTTGTTCCAACGAGAGAAAAGTGTATATTTTAAAAAGAAGATAAGCTGCAAACATTTTTGGTTGAAATATGGATTTTTTTTTTATTTTAAAATATATATTATACTCTATTTTTCATAATTCTGTTACACGGTTTTATGGTTTTGTGACCTTCTTCAAGCAAAGAGTAGGTATTTCCACATATAAAAATGAATTTTATGCGTACTAGTGATTTAAATACCTTTCTTGGATATATATATATATATATATATATATATATATATATATATATATATATATATATATTACCACACCATAATAAAACAAGTTTTAGGGATCATAATTTAATATTTAACGATTAAAATCGAATAAAATGCGCCTTTCGGCCGACATTTCGTCAGAAGTCAATCGTCATTATTAAAATTCTGGTGGAACTAAGAGATGTAGTTTGTCTGAACACTTTCCATAGAAATAGCTATATAGCAGGATGGGGCTTCCGACGTTTCGTCTGTGAGAGAGGGGGTTGTAGAATTTGAATCTTGGTGTCGTTTAATTTCTGTAAGAGGAATTTTAATTGGTTGATGTAACTGAGAAAATTATCGTCAGTCAATGTTTGTTTTATGCGAACTTATATCTCAGCAATGGATTACGAATGGTATGAAGATGGTTCGTTGCAATGTGTCTGCCGTGGCGGGTCTTTGACATTGAAGGATAGGACAGGTGGAACTGAGGAATGTAGTTCGCCTGAACAATTTCCATAGAATCAGAGATAGAGCAGCGTTTATTTTGCCAACACAAAGAAATACACGAGAACACCTGATGTCATTAACTGCCAGGTGTAGAACCCGCATATATTTGTGGAGAAATTATCTTTTTTTAAGTCTAGAAAATATATGCTAACAATGTTGTAAAAAAATAAGTCGTATATTGTTCAATTTTGATTTATTTATAATAATGTTCGATCATTTTGACGTGGTGCAATGGTTAACAAGCTTGTCTTCCGAGATTACTTACACCTGGATAGTGAGTTCGATCCTTATTAGGCGCGCCATATATTTGGCCTTGTGCCACATCTAAGCTTAGATAATCATTTGGGTACATCTAAGCTAATGCTTAGATAATCATTTGGGTACGTTTTGTAATGGCTAACAAGCTTGTCTTGCTGGATCAATTGCGACTGAATAGTGAGTTCGATCTTCATTGGGTGCTCTATAATTTCGGCCTTATGCCACATGTAAGCTTAACTTAGAGAATCGCTATTTATAATAATGTTTAGACACTTCGGTGCAGTGTAATGGCTAACAAGGTTGTCTAGAGGGTTACAGAGTAAGAGGCACAACTTATGTGGATATGTGGGTAAGATAACGATTAACCCTAGACTTGAAGACGTTATGGTTTTAGTGATTAGGGAATTATCGTCTTGGGAAATGGTTCACAAAGCAGTGATTCTTGGGGTGAATCTGTTCGAATGGAACTTACATCTCATCAATGGAATACGAAGGGAATGAAGGTGGTTCGCTGCAATGTGCGTGTCATGGCGGGTCTTAACCGTGGCGGCTAGAACTGGTGGAACTAAGGAATGTAAGTGATTATATGAAAGGTCTTTTGAGTAATCAATTGGAATTGGCTGAAAAGTTAATGCCCATCACTCAAAAATGTTCGATCATTTTGACGTGGTGTAATGGTTAACAAGCTTGTCTTCCGAGATTACTTACAACTGAATAATGAGTTCGATCCTTATTAGGCGCGCCATATATTTGGCCTTGTGCCACATCTAAGCTATCGCTTAGAAAATCATTTGGGTACATTTTGTAATAAGTAAACAAGCTTGTCTTACGGGACCAATTGCAACTGAGTAGTGAGTTCGATCTTCATTGGGTGCTCCATAATTTCGGCCTTATGCCACATGTAAGCTTAACTTAGTGAATCGCTATTTATAATAATGTTTAGGCACTTCGGTGTGGTGTTATGGAAAGCAAGGTTGTCTAGAGGCTTACAGATTAAGACACAGATTATGTGTGGAAGATAACGGTTAACCGTAGTCTTGAAGAGGTTATGGTTTTAGTGATTGGTGAAGCATCGTCTTGGGATTCACGAGACAGCGGTTCTTGGGGTGAATTTGTTCGAGTGGAATTTACGTCTCACCACCAGTGGAATACGAAGGGAATGAAGGTGGTTCGCTGCAATGTGCGTGTCATGGCGGGTCTTAGCCGTGACGGTTAGAACTGGTGGAACTAAGTAATGTAAGTGAATATATGCAAGATCTTTAGGCTAATAACTTGGGATTGACTGAAAAAGTTGATGTCCATCACTCAAAAATTGTAAGATTTTTTTTAAAAGTAAGAGGAAGATAAAAAAAAATACTTGGAAATATTTCCACATAAACTGCCATTTGACATCATTCGACCACTTATTTCCACCCTTTTCCAGACACGAAAGATCTTCTTTTTGTGGAAGATTATTATTGGAGATGAAAAATATTTTAGCGATAATCCAAAGTGACAATAAAAGTGACAGAAAAAAATAATATATTCGACAGAAGGTTATAGTTCTCTGGGATATGAAAGACGTGAATGATGAAACTCTTACCGTATATGTTTTGTTTGAACTTCTGATGTGAGGAGTCATCATTATTCACACTGTTTATATTTGGACTAGTTCTACGTGACAATGACCACGTGGATAAAGGCAATGGTTTTTGAATTTGATCACATAGTGGTTGTGAGTTCAATCCCTGGGTCGGGCAGTGTGTACATGCACTCAGTAGAAATGAGCAAGCTAAACAGTGTTAAATAAAAGAAGAACGAGACTATATCCCGAGATATGGACAGCGGAACCAAAACAGTCTACCCCCATTGATTAAATAAAGGGCTCGGTTCGGAATTCCCTGTGGGTTACCCAGATCGATATACACCTGAGGAAGGCCGGATGGGAACAACAGCCGAAACGTTGTGATAACAAAAACAAAGGTAAGGACAATACTCAGAACATAAATAGTATAATGTTACTGCATAAATTCGCAAGTGTCACTTTCGAAAAGAAACTTGCAGGGACATGCGACAGTGAATGCTATTCTCTTGAAGCTGAGTAAAATATCAAAAACAAAGAGGATGACTAGTGAAACCTCTGAAAGTGAAAAATATTACTCTTCTGCTTCGGCCTGATCATGGCTCTCTACAATTTCCTGTCCTTTGTAGTTCTTAGTATTTTTTTTTTAATTTTCGCTACCTCCTGTTTTGTCAACCATTGGCACATGACCGTTAGGCAGATCATGTTCTGCTTTCCCCTGTCCTCTCTTGCCTCCAATATGTCCTGTGAGTGTCAATTTTACTAAGCTCTCTTTCCTCCTTGTGTGCCCTAGAAATTTCAGTCTTTTCTGATATTAAGCATGTGCTCTTTTTGTTCTTATTTGTTCTCTAAAACTTGTCGCTGCTCACACATTCAGTCCATAGTATTCTCAGCATCCTTCTGTAGAATCACATTTCTGTTGCTTTATCTGTCAGACTGTCCAGTATTCAAGGCTATATAGGAGGACCGATATTACATAATAGTTCAGTACTCTTTTCTTTGTGTCTAACGAAATGTTCTTGTTTTTTAACACTAGAACACTAACCATGGGTATATAGTACCCAGCTCAAATTTTCCTATTTTAATTACAATTTTCAGCACCTGATTTACTTACCTAAATAATGTTTTTTCATTCCTATTAATGTTAATTCAAAGTACAAAGTTTGAAGTGCCTACATTTAAAATATTTCAAATAAAGATTTATATTTAATATTTTTTTGATATTTTAGAAATCGGGTATGATATACCCATGGTTAGTAGTGGTGTAATTTTAATTGATGGTTAGTGTTCTAGGGTTAATACTTTGCTTTTAGAAGACATCTTTTGGGATCACAATGCGCCTTCAAGTTTCAGTGTCGCACTTTACGTCGTCTCTTAAAACATTTCCCAGATATTTAAATTTTTCAAGTGACTTGATTTTGGTATCTCCTGTTTCTAATAAAGGTTACTAGTTAAAACTTGGATGCAAAAGACTTTTCACTGATAAGAATCTTTGCTACTTAAAATTATATTCTTTATACGACTCAGTGATGGCACGAATTCTGCCCTTCTTTTGATGCCATCTCTCTTTGAGAATTAGAAAATCACGGCCCTTGTCAGGATTTTCTTCGACAATGAAGTGATTTCCCGTTGCTTTCACCGCGGTTCTGATCTCAAGAGAGCTCACCTCTTTATTGACTAGAGAGCCAAGTAGATATTGCTGCTTCACCCATAGATGTCATTAGTAATAATAAAAAGAAGAGTGAGACACAACTGGCTACCTTAGCTTATCGCACGTTGGTGACATTAGACAAAGAGCTAAGAACAACAGGTAAATTTCTCACGATTTTTTTTCTTTTTTCTTTTTGTATTTTTTATCGACATTTCTTTATTTTACACGCCGAACCGTTTGAACCACATCTTGCTAGCATGGTGGAGGACAGAAGTGATGGATTCATGCCTTTCCCAACGGCATTTGTTATTATGTGAACGCGATAGAGTAGACTAGAACTTTTAGCGTAATTCCGCTTCGCGCACAAGAAGGAATCGAATTAATCCCATTTTTACTGAAGTCAAAATCCTCGCGATAGAAAGATTGTATAGCACAAATGTTTCGTAGATTTCTTGCCTGAACTTCCGACGAATCAACTTGCTTTCATTCGAGCCCCTGCGATCTGTGCCTTTGTTCACCACAAGAAAGAACTTTCTAAATGGAGTTACGTCAACAGGATTCACTATGAAGAAAGAGAGTCTAAGAAAGGTAGCCTTGTTGACAATGCAGAAGGCCAGATTTTACCCCTCCAAGTTTATTGATAAATATGACAAACTAATTAAACGTGGGAGATAATCCTTTGTAAGAGATAAGAAAGCGGGGAGGGTACTGGGGCAGTTCATTTATTCTTCTTCTTCTTTGCCTTCTCTGTTTTATCGCGTGTAAGGGCGAAAGCGAACACATACACGTCTTTGAACAGAGCCAAAGTATTTTTTTTTCTCCACTGACGACTTGTTCGTTAGACAGCGGCCGGGACGGAGGTATGTGGCGGTGATCTAAAACAATCATAATCGTTAACGCTACATCTTCTTTCATCGGCACAAAAATAATTAATAACGGAAGCCTCCCGGTACGTTAATTCTCCTGCCATTTTAATCTCTGCCGGATATTTTGGTGTGAAGCAGCGTGAAGTTGATTATCTGGTCTAGTCTGTGTATCTTCGCCATTGCTTTTTCTTTTTCTTCATCTTTTCTTTTTCTTTTGTACTATTTTATTTTTATTTTTATTATTTTATTTGAGAAGATGAAGCTAGAGAAGACAATGAGCCTCCTTCGTAATTCGTCGAAAGTGCGCATGTCAATACGCTCTCCACTTCCTGTTGAGTTAAATCAGTTCTTAGTCTCAAAAGATTCTTTAGAAGGACGCTTGTTGTTAAAATGTTTTCTCTGTGGTCAGTTCATCGTTGTCGCTGGGAATTCGTTAACAATCTAAAGAAAACAAGTCCGAAAAAACCTAGTAAGTGTTCATATTTTATATTCATTTCAGATATTATTTAAGTCACGGTTTTATTTCGACATCGACTTGTAATTTTCAAAAGAATTTACAATATTGGAATAGTAAAGTTTTCTCGGAAATGGACTAAATATAATGCCGACTTTAGTATTTTTGTCAATTAAACTGGCCAACTGATTAATGACATTTTAATTAATTTTAAGGGGAGATCTTTAGCAAAGGATCCATATATTTTATATTGAAAAAAAGATTTTAAAAAAATGCTTCAATAAAAACTTTAAGGATGAAACATCGTACAGTTAATCACTTTGCATATTTAAATTCATATAACATATCCAAGATTGTGTCTCCACATAAACTTTGATAAATAGGAGTTAACGCTGTTCCCTATGTCTGTGACATGACAAATGCAAGATCGAGGGGCGAGACATTTTCTCATCCCCATGTACTTTTAGAATACAATATTTTAAAAAAATGAACATATGCCACCTAAATGAGAAAGAATGTGAACAGCCCTTTAATTTTTCTATAAGCAGACATTAAGTACCGATTATCTTTCATTTTAGCGTCCGAAATATATATATATATATATATATATGTATATATATATGTGTGTGTATATATATATATATATGTGTGTGTGTGTGTATATATATATATATATGTGTGTGTGTGTATATATATATATATATATATGCGTGTGTGTATATATATATATATTCGTTCGAAACGTTGTGATAACAACAACAAAGTCGTGAACAATAGTCCGAATATAAATAGTGTAAATAAGCTCTTAAAGGGCGTTGCCTCACTAAATGTTCTTTTTTTCAATTTTTCCATAAGTAAATAAAAAATGTTTGTGATTTAAAATTTTTAAATTTTATCTGGCCTCATATTCTAAGCATACATTTGTTTCTTAAATGAATTTTAAAAATTAAATAAAATTATCTTCTAGTATGAATTTATCAAATTAAAAAAAAATAATTACAATAAAAATGATTAAATTACGTTCCTTTGGATATTATACAGCTTACAGCCATATCACGTTGAAATACCGGTTCTCGTAAGATCACCGAAGTTAAGCAACGTCGAGCCTGGTTAGTACCTGGATGGGTGAGAACTTGGGAATAGGTCTTGCAAGCATTGATGTGCAGGTGGTATAATCGATAATGGCTCGGAATTGGAATCGGAGAGCCGAGTTCCAATTCCAGTCTGGTACATTACATTCACTTACGCACAAATACCCTGGGCAAATGTATGAATCTATCTTTTCTCCTCCCAGGTATGGGTTAATAAGTGGAACTTGTACCAGTAAATCATATTATCTCGAAAAAGTTCTTATAATCCACAATTTTTTCTGGCTTTAAATAACCTGCAAAAGTTTGATAAGCCCTAAAAAACGAAAATCAATCAAGAAACTGATTTCCTGTCAAGTAATGATCCGCTATTTTTTAACCTGGACAAAATTACGACCAGTCATTTGAATTTTACACGATTTTCAGGTGACAACCGGGTGACAACCGGGTGACAACCGGGTGACAACCGGGTGGCGTTGTGCGTGGATCGCGATCCCTTTATTCTTTATACAGTCAATGATGTTATAGAGATACCAGAGATGCATAATTATTAAGCCAGCGATGTATAAATTGAATTGTTATTGCGTGACTTCTGTTAGTCCGACGGAACGGATAATCCGGTATTATTTTTGCAACCATCATGCCGGAATATAGATGGTCTATTATGTATTGCATTACAAACGCTATTTTTCGTTTTATTTCGTTGTATTTTTATGTAACCACATTTTTAATTTTAACATAATTTATTATTTACATTCAGACTAATGTCCCCATCTTTGTGTAATCACGTTTCAGCCGTTGCACTTTACGGTCTTCTTCAGGTGGTTGTGGATCTAGGTACATTTCAGGTAATTTCGAACTGAATCCTTTATTTAATCTACGGGGGTAGATGTTTTCCGGTTCAGTTTTTATCCTTTCCTCGGGCCCCCCTTATAACCCGTCTTTTCTCTCACCTTCACTCTCTGTAAACAACTGCGTACTCGTGGCATTCCCACTTTGCTTGGGGGTGAAATGTTTAAAGTAAAAACATTCAGCGAACCGGTCAAGCGTTTTAATACGCACTTTCACGTTAAACAATAAAGAAACTGTCGCATGCTCATTAGATCAAGAAAGAGAGGATAAAACAGAAGAGAGCATCATTATTCGGAAAACCTAACTGCATTTACTTTATTACTCGCGTATCATGCGACCCTTGAAGACCTAATTTTAAAGCTAATTTCACTATAGTAAATGGATATATAGTTTGGTCAACGGCGTAGCTAGTGCCAGCAAATGCATACGCCAATTTTATAGCATGTGTATGATTCGAACACAAGTATATACGGTATTACCCATTTTTTATTCTTGCTTAAACTGTATTAAACGTTACGGCTCAGTTTTTGAGATGAAGAATTATCAATATTATATGACCAATTCGGACCAACATATTCATATTGGCTGTTATTCTTTCAAGAATTTCTGCCGTTGTAAATCAAAGCACCTCCCAGATGTCTGTCATTGGTAACCTAGGAATTTATGTATGTATGTATGTATGTATGAATATGTGAGTGTGTGTGTGTGTGTGTGCATATATGTCTACATATGTTTACATGTATATATATAATATATATATATATATATATATATATATATATATAAAAGTGAACATAGAAGTGAACATATATATATATATTAAGAAATGGACAAAGTGCGACAATTTATTTATTAAAGACATTTTTATGTTTAACGTTCTTTTTTATAGATACAAGTATTTAAGTAAATGCTCTGTTTATAATAAACAGTATTAAATAACATTTACCGGCCTGTATGTCCGAGAAATTTTCATAGAAAATATTCGTCCTTTGAATCCGTAAAGGATGCAGGTTCGAATCCTGTCAAACAGAGCATTTACTTAAATACTTGTATCTATAAAAAAGAACGTTAAACATAAAAATGTCTTTAATATATATATATATATATATATATATAGGCGCGTGACTAGAACGTTCGCTTTCTGGCCATGAGACTCTGGTTCGAATCTCACCATGACTCGGAATGGATCGAGTTAGATCCCAGAGTGTGGAACCTTTAGAAAGTGCCTGAAAACCATAGCGCGGATTGACCCAAGTCTTGTGAGGTTAGACGGAACTCTTGAGGGCTGTTTTAGCTGTACTAGTACAAAGTCACAAGTCATCGTGGCCGAAGGCTTGAGCGTGCTGGCCTTGTGCAAATTGTTGATCACGTTAGATAAATCACTTGACCTTAAAAATTTTGAGGAGAATTTACATTATTGAAGAGAGAAGTGGGGAAAAAGAAAAGGAGAAGCAAGTTAGCACAATGTGCAGGGGTAGAAAGGGTTACAACTGATTAAATTAAAATTTATATCTTCATCATCTAATTTACGTCAGTATAATAACAATCTTCATATATATATATATATATATATATATATATATATAAAACAGTGACAAATTAATAATATAATATATATAAAAAAAATTTAAATGCATTAGATTTAATTCCTCTTCATGATACAATACATCATTATATATATATATATATATGCCATATACTTATAAAAACATATGTAAATATACACATACATACAACCACACAAGTAAACACATGTATACAATGCATTTACATACACATACATCGACACATATAGACATATATAATAAATAATAATAATAGCTGGCCACTCGTATTTGAGGATACCTGTCTACTAGGGTGGTTAGTCAATGCCTATTAGAGATGCTCGCTCAGGCATATTTGTGTTTGCTCAACGTCCACAGAGCCCACCTGTGGTTTATACTGCAACTATGCTGAGCAGACCTTAGTTACAGTTTCTGGGAGAAAGCGTGTTATCTATAGGATTCGAACCTATATATGACGTCATTTGTTTACATTCGATACGCCATGAGCAGCTATGAATGTACGAGATTCATGGAAGTTTATAAGCAGTAAACTCAACCTTGCCAACCGAACGATCCTTTGTGGCCGAGCGGTCAAGGCACGTCAGCGTAAATGACGGTTCCGTATAGGATGCACGTTCGAATCCTGTCAAAGGACGAATATTTTCTATGAAAATTTCTCGGACATTCAGGCCGGTAAATCTTATTTAATACTGTTTATTATAAACAGAGCATTTACTTAAATACTTGTATCTATAAAAAAAGAACGTTAATATATATATATAGAGAGAGAGAGAGAGAAATAGGAAAGAACACGTTAGGCAAATAATCCCAAGTTCTTTAGTATTTTTGTTTTTATTTAAAAAAAAAAAAAACATTGCTTCCGAGGGTGACTGATATGTTGATACAAATTACCCTTACGCCCCCTATTGAACTTGTCGCTTCACCGTTTCCATAGTAGTTAATTCTACGAATGAATATGCTTATAAAGATGCATAAACGTCTAGATTAGTTATTCCCAAAAATTTCGCTTGAGGATGACAACAGAGCTTTTGGCTCTTGTTTTTGAAACATGAGAACTATTATGTAGCGAAGGAATCATATTTTTTAAAGCAATATATATATATATATATATATATATATATATATATATAAGCACGTAGTATTGTAGTTGTCGATGGATATCTCTAAATAGATGTATATTCCGAATCGGTAGGTCATGAAGTCATATTTTGACCAACCAATCGGACCAATCGCAAATAGTCCCGACCAGGATACGAACATCATATTCTAGCGTGCGAATCGGAAACAAGATATGTGCCAATACCAGGATATGAGATCACTGGTGATGGACGTATCAGAAACCAAGTGGCAGTTTCGAAGCGGATCTGTTTGCTTTGCTAGATACATATATAATGAACTGGAGTCAAACTAAATCCGAATCGATTAATTAATTATATCGAGTCTCCAATGCTGCGGTCATCATAACATACCCAGGGCCAAAATAGGACAATTATGCTCGACCCAAACAATGTCGCAAATTACTCATAAATACCTACATCCTTCTCTCACTGGAGACTAAGACGTCTGCAAAGTTCTGCGTTGACACTAAAACATACATACTTCCTTCACCCATTTTAAGCTAGCGACTATTACTTTTGAAGACATACATACATAAATATATATATATATATATATATATATATATATATATATATATATATATATATATATAATAGCTGACCGCTAGTATTCGAGGATACCCGTCTATTAGGGCGGCTAGCCAATCCCTAATTCAGACGCTCGCTCAGGCACATTTTTGTTTGTTCAACACCCACAGAGTCCACCTGTGGTTTATACTGCAACAATGCTGAGCAGACCTTAGTTACAGTTTCTGGAATGAAGCGTGTTACCTAGAATGATCAACAATCTGAAAAAGGCCAGCACACTCAAACCCTCGGTCACGATGACTTGTGACTTCGTGCTAGCACAGCTATCGACAGTCCCCCAAGTTTTCCGTCTACCCAATTTCACTCACAAGGCTTGGGTCAACCCGTGGTATGGTTTTCAGGAATTTTCCAAAGGTGCTGGGACGTCCCCACTCCAGACCAATAACATCAGGAAGTCTCCTCCTTGACTAATCAGAACCAATCAACCGTGGTGAGATTCGAACTCGGATTTCATGGTCAGAAAGCGAACGTTTTAAGTACTCGCCCACGCGTGTGTGTGTGTATATATATATAAATCATCCAGAATCCAATCTCAGAGTCCAATGAAAAAAAACTCCAACACGAGTAAAGCAAAAATAACTAAGTAAATTGCTCAATACACTAAGTAGAGCAAATCTAACTATGAACCTAAAGAGCCAGGCAAACCTACCTAGGTTTCATGACGATCCGCGTAGGTGAAACCTAGGTAGGTTTGCCTGGCTCTTTAGGTTCATAGTTATATATATATATATATATATATATATATATATATATATATATATATATATATATATATACTCTCTCTCTCTTCTATGCATCTTTATCAAAATATATGTATTTATACATTAAACTGTATTCTCTCTCTCTCTCTCTCTCTCACACACACATGTATATATATATATATTGTGTTATATAAAAAATTATCTTATATATATTAGCTCTCTGTTCATTTT